TCTTCTGGTCTTGTCCGCGTGGTTCCCTCTGCCGCCTCGATTTATCCCAACACAGCGCAAACAAATACTACAAACCACGGACAACGGCAAACCTACACCTCTCTCGCTGCTTTCGTACAATAAAACACAACAAATCAGCGTTTGCGTTTACGTCTGCGAATGCGCCCCGAAACTATAATAAAAATCCCAAACGACCAGCTTCGATTTGAATGCGAAATGTTGAATTCGATGGAAACACAGTGAATATTAACTATTTCAACAAATTCCAACTGGTTGCAGAATCTGTTACTATTTATTTGTAGTTATAAAGACTATAAAGAAACACTTATTGAAATTGAGCAATTAGCAAAAAATTCTTGTTTAACGCGTTGGCTAATATAGGTAAAAGAGCGAAACAAGTACCTATCCACCTACATCTTGAACGATCGACAACATTCTTTCGTATTTTTTCCGCACTTGCTCGCGGAGAAAATTCTACCTGACATATTTACACGAACACACAAATACATTACAATTTTTTTCTTCTTGTAGCTGCAACACAGTTTATCAACTCACTTTTAACTCGAAAACCTTACATACACCGATTGATCACTAGAAATAATTGATTGTATTTAATTTTTTTTATAATTTGCAAAATTATAAATTTGCGGTATGCCGTGAATTTATATTAGGTATATGACATTATTAAATTACCACAGGAGTTTATGGCGACCAATGTGCATTGCACGTTATGATTATTAAGTTGTCTTAGATTATATTGAAGGTATTGAGCGTGGATTTACATATTTTCCATTTGAGTGTCTTTTACAAGCTGACTATCTTTCTGCTGCGGTTAAATATGGCACGTGTAGGTGCGCGACGTTTATGATTTTATGTTCACAACCGCGTTACATACGCAGCGGCCGGTGAACAGCGACAACGTAACGACAAAGGAATGAAAAGAGAAACGAATTGCTTGCATGTATCTGTCCGAGGAATTTACATAGATATTTATATTTATCTTCGACACTGAATTAAAATCTTGAAGAAAGCTTACACGCATTACGCCATGATTAATATGTAGGTTCTAAATTTTTCCGCACGCGAACAGAGAATATTTATTGACTTTTCTTTGTGTAGATAACGATTCACTTTGATGTCACCCTTGACTTTGAGGCATCAGACAATGAACAAATAAAAAATTCAAATGTTTGATCAATATAACTTATTTCTGGATTACTGGTATATTTAAATTTGTTTGTTGTATCGCGTGAGTCATCTCCGAACTGGTGCGGTGATAAGAAATCTCTTTATGTTCAATATTTCATGTCAGTCGCGATGACGATTGATATAAATTAAGCGAAGGTTGAAAAGCTCGAAAACGATCTGGGCTCAAGTTCAGACGCTCAGGTTTGTCATGTTTGTGTCGGCTGTGTGACACTTTTGTGCCTGATCGGTCATAAAGTGTCTGAGTAAACTTCATAAATTGAATCATATGCAAATAGGTAAATATTAAATATTAAAGTAAATCGATATTAGATTACAAATCTATTTATTTCTTGGAAATCAGTCGAGGAAAAAAGAAGACATTTTATTTCAACAAAACACATTTTTAAATAGGTACAATGTTTATAAAATGAGAGAAACGTAACTAATTAGTATACAACAATTATTTTATTGCAATATGCCTGTCAAGTTGTCGCCGGAGGTGATTCATCTATTTTTCCAAGTAAAGTATTTTCGCAAATTAGCATACACTTAGATACACCCCATAATATTGGTCGCATCGCGTGAATCGAATCGCGCGACTCATTCATGCTCGAATCTCGATACTAAGACAAGAAGGTGAAAATGATAAATGCATCGAGGATGGGCGCGAGGCAAAAATTTACATACAATGCCATCCGCGCGAGCGCATGTATTAAAAGATGCAGCACAATCGTTTCAGTGTATTTTTTCGAAAACTGGGCAAGAAGCATTTCCCACTTGCGTACAATACCATTTCGAGGCGGTCGCGTCGGGTTTATACCGTTAACGTTGCAAATATCACCAAAATAGAAACAAAACAAAAAACGCATTGTTTGGGCGCAGACTAAAAAAACGTGAATGTCGCTGTATAATCCTACATATAGATTTATTTCTCGGATTTTTTTTAACTTATAGAGGAAGTACCTGTCTATTGTACGTGTTTTGTACTATGATTTCTATTTAACAATGTTGGATTGTTTGGTTTTGATATAACAATATCCATATCGAACAGTGATTTGGAACGTGATAGATTGAATGATGTTATATATTATAAGAGACGTACTATATTTAATTATAAAGTTTAATAAAAAAAGATTTAAAAAAATATAAGTAAAGAAATTGATGTTGCAATAGATTGCACCAGATGGCGGCACATGTAAAAGTTGTAAATATGAAAAGAATAAATGCACCCCTGTTGAGTAACCTGATGGTATCATATGCGGAGATGCATGCGCTGTATTAATTTATGAAAATCGAACGAACGGGACTGCGAAGCGCGACAACATCGCAACGCTATCATTTCAATATTCAATGGGGAAAAAGGGTAAAGGTCGACGACGACAAACGGTGACGATTTCCATTCAATGTGCCTTATGTATAACAACAATACAATACGACACGAAATGCAAAATCGAGCGGCGTATACACGCACACCACGCCGCCGCCGACGAACAACAATGCGCCGGGCGCATTTCCACATGCACTTATTAGGCGCGCGTGCAAGTTTACAACCTGTATAAAAGTAGTGCGCGCCTTGCCCGCGATGCACCATCAGCCATTGTAATTGTACTTGTCGCAGTCATTGTTCGTTGAAAATTATTAAATGTTATCAACTTGCTGCCCCATATTGCGATGCGATCTTTCACCTTTTAGCCACATCAATTTCTTTGGGCTTTTTAAGTGCATTACGTAAACAGTAGACATTGCACTAAATAGTTTAGAAAAAGTTTTCGAAACATTTTCAGTCAATGGAATGCGCAAAAGTGTTTTTTGCATAATATTGAGAACAATAATCACGTGTTTGTTTTAAATTAATTTTTTTGTCATAATAATTATATGCCTAAATTCTTTAAAAAAAACTAGTATAAATTATTGTATAGGTATTTTCAAATATTTAAATTATTTAAAAATGAAAAGTTCTTTATGGTAATGTGTTTTGTAACAATAAATTTACTTAAATACTATGATTTAATACCGTTAATTTTTATAGTGTAGATATCCTTTTCATTGAAGGGAAAAATACAAATTTTTACCTAAAAATGTAAAAAATTAAGGAATACGAAAAATGTGCAAATACACAATTGTGATTTTAATTGTATTCTGTAGTGAGGTGTAATAGCTATTAGCATAGCAGCGCATAGTCTACGTGTGTGTTGTCCCAACTGTGGCAAGATGCCACGGGCGCCGTCAATTCTTTTCCTCCTTGTAGCCGGTCGTCGTCGTCCTCGTCGTCGGCGGCGAAATGAATTCACACCTTGTAGAACAATAACTAGGCATCATAATCATTGTTGCTTTTGACTCGTATGGCAGCGTTAACAACTCACGATTTGTACAACATATGACCGTCGTTTGTTTCTGCTAATATTACTTATTTACATGCATGTTTATTTGTATACTGGGCGATTTAAAACCATAAAAAAACAGAGCAATCTTAGGAAAAACCCAAAATATTTGTTTAGTTATTTTTTTATTAGTTAGTTTAAGTCAGGTGTGTACCTAAAAATTTGTATACTAATAATTAAAATTTTAACCAAACACACGTTAAATTTTATTATTTACTCTGTAGGTTTGCGTGCAAAAGTATAGAATAGAAATAAGATAAATGTAACGCTCATTTACACCGTCTTCCTTGCCTGTTTGCAATAAATCGAGTGCATTATAGTAAATTTGATTGTTTCCTCGCTTTGGTCTTAATAACTCGACGCGTCTTCCATATACGATGGCATTTTCTTTTGTTCCCTGCCTTTGTGTGTGCACCCACAACTTTCCATTCAATGCTCGGCCGCCTCAATGAGGAAACATTATATGCACCGAGCTTAGCGAGAGAATATTTCGGCTAATTATCTCTGCGTTCATTATGTATTCATGAATCTATTGAATAGTATGTCAACGTGCAAGTCATAACATTGAATTTGCTTTTGTATTAGATATTGTTGCAGGTAGATTTACATGCGCACACATAGATACCTATACCTACAGACAAGTTTGGCGCGGCTGCTCTCTCTAAGCTCACGTGAGTCATACGTTCTGAAATCTCTTTTACGCATTTCATTCCAACTTGGAATTAAAATAAGAATTAGGTGTAGGGGTATTCAGTATTTGCATACGAGCATTTGAATTAAGAAACATCTCCATATTCATAACAAAGAACATTACATTCGCAAACGAAAAGAAATTTATATATTTTTAGTTATTTAATATTTATACCAATATGTTTACTTGAAAGCGTGAATATTTGTAAGTAAAAGTTTGACAAATAAGCTTAGCCATGCTCGCAATCCTTAAATAGAAGTCAGGTTACTTGTATGAATTACCCGCGTTAAAATCACTGCGCTCGCAACAAATTTATTCATAGAATATAAAAATAAAGCCGGGACTGGTGTTGGAGTTGGTTGTCGTTTATTGATATTTTGCGTCGTTAACATCCATATATGGCTGCACAATTTATTGACTTTTTGATGCATCCTTTCTTCCATTCCATCAAAACGAAAAAAGGATCACAAGAGATAAATTTTATTAAGGATTTCCATCAATTTTAAACTAAATCCCTTTATAGGTATAAGCTTTACTTTTACTTTTCTTTTAATTTTAATGAAATGGTGCATCGATATCACTAATTTCGCCCTGAAAAATAGTAAAAAACGAAAATATTTTTTTATAAAAAACTTTTATTCAAAATATAATAATTTGTTGTAAGGCACAAATAGGTGTACAATGGCATTTTCTTACTTCTACGAGATTTATTATTTCTCGTTATTGTTTTGAGACTAAAATGACTAGAAAATACTTTTATATTCTTACAAAAATAGCATTTATGTTCGTAACATATACCTTCATACAAACGTTACTATTTTTTAGTTTGTGCTACTACCCTTTACAAGTCGCTGTACGTCAGGTTGCCACATTCAATATTTTTTAAAAAGTAGTTTACATTCAAGTGTGGCAATCTGAGTGTGCGTAGTTTTTGAACTGTTTTGATTGTAAATTCGAAATATATTAACTTTCTTATAACTTAGTAGAACTTTAAACGTAACATATCTATATACATGCACTATTTACAGATTTTGCGCATATTTATCGTGACCCTTGGCACACGAACTCGGTATCGTATAAAAAATAGGAAAAAAATACATTTGTACAACGTGTCAGTCTTTTAGAAGCACTTTTCGGGCCATTGTGGAGGTTTTTTCAAAACATCTTCTCTGATTTGATCATGTGTCCAGCACCGCAACCAGTTTCGGAGTGCTTGGTAAGCAGAGACATTCTCGAGAAGGTTTTGCTACAGGATAGGCACGAGTACTTTTTGACGTCCGAATGAGTCTGCAGATGAGCGCGCAAGTTGGAGCGATCGGCAAAGGCGCGATTGCAGTAGGTGCACGAGAAGGGTTTTTCGCCCGTGTGCGTCCTGATGTGACCTTGTAATAGCCACGGGCGCGAAAAGGCCTTGCCGCAAATGTTGCACTTGCACGGCAACGTGTGCGTCCTGATGTGCATCTTGAGGGCGCCCAGCGAGACGTACACTTTGTCGCAGTACTTGCAGCTGAAGGATTTTCGCGGACCGTCGCCGGCGGCGCAATGGAACTGGCGATGCTTCGAAAGACCCGAACACGTGGAGTAACTTTTACCGCAGTCTGGGCATTTATGGCGGACGCCTTGGCGACGCTTTTCGGCGGAGAGATCTTCGGCGTTGCAGGGTGGCGGCGGTGATGTAGTAGATGAATTAGGACTGAGACTATGTTGATCGATTTGGTGGTAAACGTTGGGTCTTAGCGCAAGAGGAGCGAGAGGCTGGGTGGGCACATGGTGCGGCGGTGAGAGCGAATTTTCGCTGTAGGTTGGACTCCGTAGGTATTCGTAGGCGGGTTGTTGGTGGTATGGATGGTACATGAACTGATAGTGTGAATGAGGGGAGTAGACACTCTGATACCACTGTTGCGGAGCGTCATAGTCAGGAGAAATTGATGTGCGGAATTGAAAACCGTCTGGTTTTAGGTTGGCGGGATATTCGGCTTTGGGGTAGACGATTTCGTGAGCTGGTGAGCTTGATGGCGTAGATGCTGGTGAGGCAGTGTGCAAGGAAGAAACCGGAGATGATGCTGAGATCGATGGTGATGGTGATTTGTTAGTGTAACGGCCGGTAATGCTGAGATCTTCCGGTTTTGTACTCAGGTTTTCAGGTTCTGGAAGAAGAAAAACCAAAATATTAATTTCAAATTTATACAAAATAAAAACATCAAAAAGAACACTCTTGTGAAGTGTAAAATTTATATCATTTGTGTGAGATAATTACCTTCGGATTCGATTATATGCACGGGCCTCTTTTTAAGAGGACAGTGGCTGTAGTTTTTGGCCATGATAGGAACAGACATTTTCTCTATCATAACAACGAAGCGGTAAAGTAATCCAAAAAATAGTTGGCACTGATTAAATGTTCTATAGCACAAGTTTTTTGTTGACCACGCACGGACGTAAAACGTGTTCAAGTCGGAAGGCACTAGATGGCTTGGGCTAAGCTCTTCGACAGTGTGAACTGATCGAGGTTGGCGATGATTCTGCTTTCCAAGCTTCAAGCTGCGATATATATAGCAGCCCCCACTATTAGGTGCACGTGCCGCCCGGCCAATCCGTGTACGAGGAAGCTTCGCTCGATCTACCAACTGCACAGTTCGTAGGCATTAAATTGGTGCCTGAGGTGGGGGAAACAGGTGTGCTACCGGTGGAGTTAAAGAACCTCACCGTGCGTCGAGCGTCAACGCTACACTTAAACCTAATAATATCAGTCTTAAGTAGATGCAACGTGCCTGCTAATCCTAATGAGTTTTAATCGTTGCGTTCACGAGTATTTAGAATAAATTATACAAAAAAATTAACAAATTCAACATTTTTTTTTAACATTATGCAATAGGTAATTTGTGCTAAAACTAATGATACATAGAAAATCATATAATTTGATTTGCTGGTAATGTTGGCATTCGATCGTGTTGCTTTCTTTCTGTCGCAAACATGTGCACACCAAGGGGCGGTAAAGCACAGGCACGCGCTCACCCAGCCAGCTGCTCGCTCGCATGTGTATGCACATGTATGTTTTAAGACCGTTACGAATAAACACCCCTCGCGCTGCTGCGTGCTCGCCGTCGCCTATTCAAAGGAAGTTGTGTGCGTATGTGTGTGCTGAAATATGCGCGCATTGAAAAGGTTTTGCACCCCTCGACCCGTAGTCTACCATCTACATGTGTACCTATGCGTTTTGGAAAGTGTACATATGCGCATTTCATAATAGCCCAGGTTCAGGTGTACCTTACCTTCTGCAGAGGCACCCGGGTCCAAATTGTCATATGATAACTCGACACAATGTCTATTGCCGAAAGCAGCTTAGACACATTCTGATATACCTATTGATATATTCAATTGATGGATGCATGATTAATTGCTTTGTTTCTATCTCATTGATTCCTCAATGCGTTTTAGTGAATATCTGCCTATCAGATAATTAATTATAAAGGGATGCGTAGTAATATTGAATATGTATAATATTTATATATACCGAGCATGTGTTAAACTAGTTTTTAGTAGAACTAGCATAACTTGAACGAACAATTGAATCTAAACAGACCTACCCTAAAATATGTACCGCCAGTATGCAGGTAAAGCACGTTGGCATGTGGTGACGTGTGATACCATATTTTCGCGCCAAAATATTCCATCGTCACAACGAATATTGAACATACCTATTCGTTATTCCAGCAACATAAAGTACATCATTGAAAACGTGCACTGCTTACTGATTAAATAAATATACAATTCCACCTTCCATCGCAGTTATCAGTATTATTTCCCGCGCAAACATACATTTAGTGAATAAACTATTCTCGGTACACAAATATCATTAAAGCGATAATGTTAAAATTTGAAAAGGTAGTGAGACGCCGTTTTGCAGAAATAAATAGGTACCAAGTGCAATTAAAGCCTGTTTCTGACTGTGTTTGTCGCTGTTTGTTTGCGTTGACTCAAAATATCTCTGCTCAGTCAACAACCAACAACAAATAACAAATTTTATTTTATTACCAACGGATTGGTAGTAAACTGAAAGCGTTTAAGCTAATCATCATAAGCTGAAATTTACCTTGATGCTCACGTCAATTTTATTATTTATATATTCATCAGTGTTTGTAACCAGTAAGATAAATGCAACAATAACAATCGAATGATCATAATAATATTGACAATTGAACACTTTAAGCATTGTTTGTTTATTCGGTTGTTAACTACAACTACAACTAGCTAAACTGTTTTAAATGAGTGTATTGTAATGTAATGTGATTCGAAGTATTAACTATAGGTACGTAAAACAGAATCAAAATTAAATATAGAAGGAATTAAGTAATGCTAAGATATGTAAATCTAAAGAAATATAATATTCATTATTCAATTAATGTCTCTCTGAGGAGCATGTAGGTACATAATTATTAGTTATTGCCTAATGGCGAATGATTCATTCGTTTTATATTTATGTGTGACGATGAAAAATCGAAAAAAAAATCGGAAGTGATGGGAAATGGACGGTCGGTGTGCAATATGCATTCTGGGTTGGGTTGTATTTCCCCCTTATAAACGTAATTCAACCTGGGCTTTTGCCCGGCCGCGAGACAGATGCGGACCCAACATCGTGCCGGATTCAAAAGAGCGCCAAACGACAATCACCTAACTTCTAGTTTGTACCAGCAACTAGCACATTGTGAACAATTACCTCCCAATTCCCCGCCAGAATCAATTCCAACATCTGGACTCCAGAAGTACTTGATTTTCATCTGACAACAATTTGGGTATTACCTTTAAAATGTTTCCAGCCATTTTATTACGCTGTTTTAAAAATATCACGTTCATCCAAAAACTGAAAAATTCTCACAGTCATTTAATAATTTCATGAATTTGTTAATAAATCTTAATCAAACTGAAAGCGGATTGTATAAACATGTTGTTGTGATTGGTTTAAAATGTTATGAAACTTCTTGGAATTGCACGGCGTTCAGCGGCGACATTAAATAATTTGTTAATTACGATTGCGCACCCGATATAGAAATCGCTGGCGCCACCATGCAAAATATTCGCAAGTTATATGTACGCGCGCGTAAAGTATCATGTGGGTAACTCTATTCTTCGCTGCCTTTTGTATGTTATACTTGTTGCTCGGCAAGTTTTCCTATTCGGGGGAACTTTCAACAATAAACTATCAATTTTATGTCTAGCGGTTTGCTTCCAGCGTATTCGAAGCTCTGCACTTAATCTATAAAATTGCATATGCACACATTTATAGGCGTGCATACGTGCATTTGCATGTGTTTGTGTGCTTTTACTAGTCCGCGCGCTGTTTTGAAAGAGAAAGAGGCTTGGCTTTTGGTAGCTTCGTGCTTCGCGGAAACGAATTGCTTATTCATTCCATTTAACAAGAATCGTCGTCGGCTATTATTATTATTGCCATTATATTCATAATCAAATCATACGCGCCGCGGCTAAATACGAGCGAGTGATCTGGCTAGAGTGAGACGTGCATAAATGTTATAAAAGCTAAGTGCAAATAACAAATATACCCTACAAATATCGATCAGGTCATAAATTAGAATAATGCAAGAGATATTGCGGCGTTCGGCGGTTCGTTCCTCGACGTCGTCGTCGTCGCCGTCGTCGTCGTGATTGATTTTTACGCGCGCACACACTGCACTGCTGCCTACAAGTTTCTAGTTTCACTCTTCATCGCGCGAATATAATGTACGTGGAATCAGAGTCGATAGATAAGTCACCAGCTAGCCGTCGTCGGCGCGCGAAAAGAAGGAACACCAAAGAAATCCTTGAATGGCGCCGCTGTTGCAACACAAGCGCAGTTTGTACCCATGAAATGTTGCGTAGTCGTGTTGTGTTCTTCTGTGACATCAATTTGTTATCTTTTTTTTTTTTCATATTAAGCATCAATTGACTTGTTGTGTTCTGTGCTCTGATCAAAAATAGTTGATGTGATATTAATATTAAGTTAACATTAGTCGTCATTGCAAATGCCAAAGATGTACGAGTATATTCACTTCACTTTGCATGTTCATGGTAATGTCCTGATTGTGCTCGCATTGCATGCATTGTACGTAAACATACCAATTCCATTATATCAACTCGTTGGTCAGTCGGCGGGCTGCCGCGAATCGTAGGAAACAGGTGCTATTATAAAAATCTCGACGGGCCCACGCTTCGTTGTTACGTTCCAGTGAATTTTACTTCTGGCGAGTTTTCACCAGACGATTTAAACCACACCACTACGATGCAAATTAAATTGATTTCAATGATTATATTTCCACTCTATTAATGTAATACTAATGTCTTCTCATCATTTACGCATCTGTCTATAAATGACTATTTCACGCGGTTGAAAATGCAAATAGAGTTATCAAAAATTGTTTCCTGTCTTTCTGGAGTAATGCAAAGGGAACTTATTTATTTAACACCTTTTATACCACAAGTGTCTGATAAACTTGCGGTGGAAATATTTTTGCTTGATACAAGTGTAAGCGAATAATACGAGCATTATAGGTACCTATATTGTATTGAATATATAGGGAAATATATTACTTACTATCTTGTCACAACTGTTACCACACAAACACATACCCATTGATTTACTGTAAATGTCAGGCTTTTTCAAAATAATATTCGTGCAACCAACATCACTTCTCACAGTACCATAAATGACGAAGCTCATGCATTTGCAGCAACTCGCAATGAATTGAATTAAATATACACTTTATTCTCATATTTAATTACCGCCTTGTTGGGTGGCATGAAAACTTCAACAGATTGCTCTATAACTTTATAGCATTTGGAATATTTACGTATACGATTATTGCATTGAACAATCGGACTCTTTACGCTAATTACAAGTGCTTAAAATGTTGGTTGAGATTTAATAAACATAGTATTTGCAATTATCGTTGTTGTTGTTGCAGGTCGTGCCGTGCAGCCGCAATTAACGACAATTACATAAAAGCGAGCATGAATCCATTATGATTTGCATAATTACGTTTAATTATTTATTAGAGTATATTACGATTATCAACTCTCGAAATAGTAAATATAACATACCTACCTACTTAATAGGTGAATATATCTACGTCCGTTGTAAATGCCATTACTCACAACCGCAAAATAATTGGTTATTAATTTATTAAGCTGTTACTTTCATATAAATCACACGCGTCGAAGCAACGACCAACGACGATTTACAAAATAGCATCACACCTTATTTTGCAAGTGTATATTGTGTATTGTATAAAAATGATCAAAGAAGCGCCGTAATGTGGAAATGCTGCAGTAAGGAAATGGGAATGAACGCGGAAATTGTTGTAAATCAACGCTCGTCCCGCCGCCTACAAGAGCCCGAGTGTAATTTAATACAACGACATTCATTGATATTGTGCATTGGCACAATCTGCAAACGATCGAACGCCACAATTCGCTTTTATTGTTCGATCACGACGACAACCTCACCTCGTGGCTGTC